GGATGACCTTTTGTTGCTTTGGCTTTGAGACGAGTTGATGTTGTTTCGACGACCACCTTCCTACAAGCTGCCTGCATAAGGAGCTTTCAACTTTCAACCTTGACGCATCTTGACAGCCTCTGGGATGCTGGAGTGCCTTCACCATCCGCCCCTAGCAGTAAGCAACTGCCTCTGCCAAAAGCCACTGAAGGCTGCTTAGAAATCCGATGACCGCTCTCTTGCCAAACCGTCGCTGCATATCACCTTTCTCTGCAACAGAAATCCCTCCACAACCCAATATCCAAGACTTCCCTCACTTTGGATTCTTCCAGCCTTGCGAACACAGGGCCATGGAATCTACGTATCACTGAACATTCTCTTCTCTCATCTTCTCTCATCTACCAGAAGTTTGTCTACACCGTGACCACTTGCGCAAGACCTGCAGGGGATGCTGGCAAAACGCTGCCATGGATTCATCCACTCTTGATCCCAGCAAAGTGGAGCCCTTGTTGCTTCACAGGAGTGATGCCCACTGCGCAGTGCTGGGCAAGCAAGGTCCAGAACGGAGACACAGGACCTGGCGGAGATGCTGGCAAGACAGTCCGCAACGAAATCGGTGGTTTTCAGAAGCTGCCATCGATCCGTTCTTGATCCCAACTACTCGTATGGCCATCAGGACTGTACCAGGCGCTGCTACAGCCGCACCTGGCCAGGATCGCCCCGCATAATTGTGTGCTGAGTAGCCGGAAAAGGAGTGTTCCACCCAACGGTCCTTGAGGCATCCTTGGCTTTCGCTCCTCCCTCTCAAGCAATGTTTTTGTGGGTGTCCTCTTGGGGAGGATGAATATCTCATCCCTATGCATGTTGTGCGAAATTGCATGTTGTCCCAAATGCGTAGCGAAGGGTTCTCGTTTAACTCTGGGGGTCTGGGGGTAGAGCCTTGATCGCGACTCGTTGTCTTAGCGTTCTCAACTGTTGTCAACCGTCCGCAACCGTTCGCAGGTGGAGCACTATGGCGCTGACATTGGGCGAAGCTTTTGGAGAAGGTTTTGGATACTAAATTTCATAAATAGGGTGCGCTTTTGGCAGAAATATTTCATAAGTATTCAGCAATGCGCACTGCATTCAACATCACCTGTAGAAGGTAGGGGGTAGTTTTTTGGTGGACCAAAGATTGTGCTTCCAATGCTGAATGCAAAGTGCTATGGGAAGAGCAAAGCCCAAGTAAAAGACTTGACCAGGTGTAAGTAGTGCAGGGGGCTGACGCATGTTTGGTTCAAAAGTTTGCTGCAAAACAACACCAGGGAAGCAGATACAGAAACAACATAAGTTTGGGGATAGGGCTCCTAAGAATACTAGAGCCTCTTCCAAAAGGATATGACGACTGTGCATCACCAGCCTTGCGAAACCGACGCCAGCAGTTAGAACGTTTTCGTCCCAAACTCCACGAGCAGAAATTGCTATGTTTTTTGGAAAGGAACTATAACCCCAAATCCGTATGGAAAGAATGTTGTACATCTTTCAAAATCTTATGACTCGGAAAGTGTGCGACGTCCCTGTCAGAACCGGTTATGTTTCTTTTTTGAAAACACGCCTCGCTGTTGCATTGTTCGGAGCAGCTGTGCCAATGCTCGTGGAAGCTACGATCCCTCTAAACATTATACTTTTTGGAAAAATATAACTTATGATTCGCTAAGGCATGTATTGACGCCTTCTTTTTTCCAAGGAAATGCTAGAGATTTACTTGAGGCGGCTACATGACAATTTGTGATCAATATGCGCAGGCACCAACTAAAAAGAGACAAAAAAACAAAAGGTGATGGGTTATCTGCATGCTCTGGTGAATCGGAAGTTATTTAATATTTTGAAGAACTATAACTTTTTCCATTAGGTGTCCCATGGTTTTGGAGTTGTAGTTTTTCAAAAAATCATAATTATTTTCGACAAGGACGTCGCACACTTTCCGAGTTGTAAGATTTTTTAAACTATAAAATTTTTCCATTGGGTGTCCCATGGTTTTGGAGTTGTAGTTTGTTCCACAAAACATTACAATTTTCGACGAGGATGTCGCGCACTTTCCAAGTTATAAGATTTTTTTTGAAGAATTGTCCGCTATAACCCACGGTTTTGGAGATAAAAACATTTTCAAGAAAGACACATAACCGGTTCTGACAGGGACGTCGCGCACTTTCCAAGTTATAAGATTTTTTGAAAGATGTATAACATTTTTCCATTAAGTGCCCCACGGATTTGGGGTTATAGTTCTTTTCCAAACATAGCAATTTCTGCTTGTGGAGTTTGGGACGAAAACGTTCTAACTGCTGGCATCGGTTTCGCAAGGCTGGTGATGCACAGTCGTCATATCCTTTTGGAAGAGGCTCTGGTATTCTTAGCAATCCTACCCCCAAACTTATGATTTTTCTGTTGATGTATCCCAGATATGAAGCGTGATTTCTGAAACTCAACAGTTTTGGAATGGAAGAAGCAGCAAAGAAACGAAGGATGAAGTCCCTGTGCAGGCGCAGGGTTTTGCGAGACTGGCAGGTCTCTTCGCAGTCAGATTGGGATTGGTGATTTTAGGGTGGTGTTTTTTGGATGTGGGTGTGACGTTGGGATTTGCGTTTGAGGCTGTTGCTTCGAAGTTGTGTTTTCGTGACAAGTCTCAACTAAAGTGGCGATTTTGGTGGCGGGAGTGTGCTCAGAACGTGTCGAAAACATTCCAATCGTGTGCTGTGGTAGCAAGTTTTGCTGAAGCTAACATGATATGATATTGTCACTTTTCGTGGCAGGTGCAGTACTTTGTGCGGGTTTGAGGTGTGGAGTTGGCAGGCGCAGTATTTTGTGCGTGTTGGAGGTGTGGACCATTGATGTTGCTTGGAGGGGCTGGAATCGCGAAGCTGCTTGGCGGGGATGCTTGATGTGCGTGCTCCGAGGGGCCTTCCCGCTTGGCCTTTGCTCGTTTTGGAGACTTTGACATACTTTTGGAGGAAGTCTCATAAGAAACGCTCGTTTTGGAGATTTACGCGTGAATTTTGGAGGAAGTCTCGTACGAAACGCTCGTTTTGCAGACTTGAAGTGTGAATTTTTGAGGAAGTCTCGTGCGAAACGCTCGTTTTGGAGACTTGATTGATGAGTCGAGTGGAGCAAGCCTCGTACGAAACGCCAGTTCGTGACGGTTGACTTTTGGAGACTGTCCCACAAGAATGCCGTGCAAGAGTGTACCAAAAGAGTGACCCGCAAGAGTGTTTTACAAGAGCGTTCCGCAAGAGTGTCCCACAAGAGTGTGTCGCAAGAGTGCCCTACGAGAGTGCCCTACAAGGCCCTACGAGAGTGCCCCACAAGAGTGTTCCGTGTCATACAAGAGTGTCCCGCAAGAGTGCGCCACAAGAGTGTCCCACAGAAGTGGCAACTTGTAGCCCAAATGTAATGTGGGAAGCAGCTGCTGGGAGCTGTGGCCTCGCGCTTGGCAACTTTAGCAGAACTGGCCACTTGGTAGTACGAATGTAGTGCAGAAAGCAGCTTCTGGGAGCTGTGGCCTCAGAACTGGCAACTTGTAGTACACATGTGATGCGGGAAAATGTAGCGCGGGAAGCGGTTTCTGGCAGGTGCGGCCTCAGAACTGTCAACTTGGTAGTGCAAATATAGCTTCTGAGAGTTGCGGCCTCAGACCTGGCCACTGGGTAGTGCAAATCTAGTGGTTTCTGGGAGCTGTAGAACTGGCAGCTTTGTAGTGCACATGTAGTGTGGGAGCTTCTGGGAGCTGTGGCTTCAGAACTGTCAACTTATGTAACCAAATTACATCTGAGTACGCGAGTGTCGCACGTGAGTGTCCCGCAAGAGTGTTGCACAAGAGTCCACAAGAGTGTCGTCTCCTACTGCCTTCGACTTCGCCGTCACGGCGCCCCAGCGGCAGGAGACCCTCGCACAGGCGAGTGTGCGCACGGCTGCGGCAGCTGAAGCCCACGCAAGACATAAGGAGCTTCACCTGCGCACTGCTCAAGCATGCGAGCAGCAAGGTGTCAAATTTGTCCCGATGGTAGCTGAGTGCACCGGAGCATGGGATCCAAGCGCCTTGAAAGTTTTGAAACATGTGGCTCATGCGGTTGCTGCCAAGACTGGCGAAGAGCCAGCAGCTTGCTACAACCAACTGTTGCAAGAACTCGGTGCTACCATTCGGTCCTTTCGGGCCCGCGCTGCGCTGCGGCGCCGTTTCGAAGCCACTTGAACCTGGCAGCCTGCTCTCCGATTCTCCGTGCGGTGAGTCGTTGGGCGCTTGACGGTATCCTTCACCCACGGGGCAGTGACCAATGACATGCGCGTGGGCCCGCTGTAGTCCCTATGCCTTTCTTTTTCAATTTGCGGCTCCTTGCTGTTTTTCCCCTCCGGATGCCGATGCTTCTGCCCGTACGTGGCCAGCCGTCGGTGGCCCGGGGGCTTTGTGTTGCACGCGGGCTCTATTTCTTTTTGCCGCTCGTCACGGTGGCTTCGTTTCCAGTGCCAACGCAGTTGGGGTTTTCCATTGCTGGAGACGTTGCAACCTATGCCGGCCTTCTCCGTTTTCACCGTTTTGTACAGGCTGCCATTACACAGTGGCACGCGAACGACCCTTCTTTCTTGTCCAACAAGAGTGTTCTGCGAGAGTGTCCCACAGAGTGACGAAAGTGTCCCACGAGAGTGTCCCACAAGAGCGTTCTACAAGAGTGTCTCCTACAAGAGTGTCCAAAAATGTTTGGGTTTTTGTTTTCAAGTACGTGTTTGCATTCGGGATCGTGGGCTCCATCTTGTTTTTGTGGAGGGGGTGCCAGTAGGAAATCTTTGGTCCATTGACAAGTTCCTTATAATGCCGGAGCAGGTTATATCCTTGACGCAGGTTGCGAGAATGTCGAGTGGGGTGAAAGTCACCAGCGTCGGCCTCGGCATTTGATCCCGAACTTGGACCATCATGCACAGTTGGACCAAAGGCAGCATTCGTTCAGCGTTTTTTCGGGTTAGGTGCTCAAGGCATTTCTGTAGCGCGAAGAGCTTCCCGAGATGTCCGAGAGGCACAGTGAAGATGCAATGTCTATGATTGTCTATGCAAATTGGAAACATATACATATACACGTTACATGCACTTATTGAAGAGAAACTTGTCATGACTTTGGTTGAACTGTCCCACACTCTTACCTCACAGACCACACAATGGTGATGTCGCGTCTAACTTCTCCAGGCCTCGGCGAAGAGCCCCCTCGGTCGTTTGAAGCTTACCTTGTGCATCCATTTTTGAGGCGGTGATGTCAATGTTTATCAGCAATTGACACTTGGCTCCATAAAGGATGGGCGCCAGGTCAAACGCCGCTGCAACTAAGTGAGCTCCTTGCCATGCGGAACCGATCGCCCATCTTCAAAACTTGGGGTTTGCTGAAGAACCCTGCACCCTGCAGGTGGTGGGATGGATTGGCCTTCGTGCAAGATGAAATCATTCTTAGTCTTGCCAGGCTATTGCTAGGATTTTTTCTTCTCATTTCTTCTATCTTTTTTTTGCACCTGAGGCCTCAGCGATAGGAATCGGGCCGTTGGGGTGGCTCAGTGGTACTCGTCTTGAAAGATTCCAACAAATTTTCAACCAGATGTTCTGTATTTGGACGACAACTTTAACCGTGCAACCTGCCCCTCCCCAAACAAGGGTTTGCCATCCAACCTCTGGTAGGAAGATGACAACTTTGATTGGAAAGAGTCTCAGCTTGCAAGTACTCATAATTTGTAAAGCATCGGCGCACAAATGGAGACTTCAAAAGGAGGCTTCCTTCATGCATGCAGATTTCCCGTGGTGATAACTATATGAGCATGGGCCAAGCAGTCAGAAGCCAACTGAACTGCTGGGTGACCAGATTGTGTGACTCGCACGAACATTTCCATGCGCGAGCAGTGGCACCTAAGTCCAGAGAGACCATGCAATATCACGACCAATAAAGCACTAGCAAACCTGTGGCCAGCTCGTGGCCCTTTTGCCGCTTTTGTTTGCAAAATGTAGGTTGAGCAATACAACGCTTCGTGCAACAGCTGGATCAATTTAGTAGGTTCGCGATTCAGTTTTGTACCAGCAGCGGCTTGTCCTCGGGCTGCAACTTGACAGATGTGGGACTGAAGGTCAAGAGGGATCATTGTTTGAAAGCTTTCTGGCGGAACTTGGCAGGAAAGACATTATTTAAATCATGTAGAGCTGTGATGTGCAGCGAACAAGCGATGAATGTTTGGCCCTCAAGTGACAGCGAATTATCCATTACAGACGCGGCGATCGGGAATTCGAAAAAAGCAACTCGAAAACCGAATGGATGTTTGAACTATGGTCGATGTTCATCCCTTTCGACCCACATGTCGGCCATGTGGGCTCAGGAGCCATGGCATCCTCCATGACGGTAAAGTCGGCGACCCGGGTGGCCCAAGGCCTCGGGTGAGGGTTGGCCAGGATAAAGCTGGTGGCGAAAAGGTCAACCGTGGCTGGCCACAGACATCCTGAAGTAGGCAGAACATGGAACAGAACCTCAAGCCACGGCAATTTGGTACATGGATCCAACCAAATAAGATTATTCGTGTGATAGTTTCTTTGGTTTTTTCTTGTTGTGGTTGTCACTTACGCACGCCAGCCCCTATTTTCGCTCTGGCTATTCCAGCAAGAAGGTTACTCTTTGTGATAGGGTTGATAGCTGACATGCCTGAGAGTTCGTTTCCTGGTTGAAAGGGGAAAAGTCAGTAGCTAGTTGAGGGACATGGGCAACAGGAAAACATATATATATATATACACATTGCGAACACTTTTCCATGCATCACAGAATGCACTCGCAGCCCTTCTGAGTATCAAGAAAAGGTGCGTATGGGAGGGATAAGGGAACCCCCCCTTCCCTTGAGCTTGAGAGAAAAGCCCCTAGGTCACTGGAATCCCAGGTGCGAATTTCGAGCCATAGATTTGGAGCCTTTGGAATCCAAGCGGCTGGACTGGTGAAGATTTGTTGTTAGCAGCGCTCTGTACCCAGTACATTGTGTCAATTAGACATTAGTACAAGGGGAAGACGGAGGAAATCAGAGAAACCCTTCAGACTATAGTGCAGAGTATGCTGGCAACAACAGCAGCTGAGGCAGCGAAGAAAGCAGCTGAGGACAAGAAGTCCTCAACAACAGATTTGTCAAAGTTGATAGCCGAGCCCAACATCTTTGACTATAAGTCACATGAAGAAGAGATCAAGGCCTTCAGAGAGTGGTCATGGGTCTTTGAGAAGTACTTGAGTGCAATTGATGAGGGCAGCAGCTTTTCTCCTTTAGTGAGGAGGCTTTGCGAAGTTAGCGCCAGGCGAAGCCGGCGCGATTGGGCTTGATGATATTCGACAAGGCTGAGGGCTACATGAAGGTATTGAAGGGCATTCATGAGAAGCCAAGTGAAAAATTTGACATGGACTTGGCAACTGAGGCAGACAAGACCAGGTCCATCAAGCTCTATGGATTGTTAGCTTCATTGATGAGAGGAAGAGCGCTGCAATTAGTGGAGTCTAGGACTCCAATGGATTTGATGCCTGGACGAGTTTGAATAAAGCTTTGAAACCAACTTCAAAGGCAAGAGGCTTGGCAGTTTTGGGAGCAGCCACTACATGGCCAGCAATTTCAATGAAAAGTGCGCTACAACCTCAACTCTTGAAGCTTGGAGAAGTATTTGATGAGACAGTCAAGGCAGGGACTACAATTCAGGAAGAGTTGAAATCTGCTATTCTTTTGAGATGTGTAGGAGGAGGACAACTCAAGTCCTACTTGAACTTGACAATTGGCGACAATGTTCAATACTCAACTTTGAGGGAACAAGTGTTGCAATCGGATCGCTCTCAGCAGAAGTGGGCTACTCCCATGGTGGCTAGTAGCAGTACAGGCTACCAAGGGCCTATGCCAAGGGATGTTGATCGAGTCCAAGATGCCAAAGGCAAAGGTAAGAAGGGCAAGAATGACAATCAGAAAGGCAAAGGTAAAGATGCTAAGGGCAAAGGAAAGAAAGGAAAAGGACCAGAAAGGAAAGGAATCTGATCACAAGGGTGAAGGTAAAGGCGACGACCAAAAAGGCAAAGGTGTGGCAACATGTTACAGGTAAAGGCTGTTGGAGGAATCATATTCGACAGGTAGCAGGTGATCAAGCCCATTCATCTTCAGGAGGAGCATCAGTGACAACTCATACAGTTGGCCAACAGCATGCCAATGGCAGGCTTTTGGCGGTGACTAAGGACGCGGAGAAAGACAGACTCATTTTTGACTGCGCACCGTTGAACACTTTGGAATCTCCGCCGAACCGGTGGTTTATTTCCATGGTAGCCTCTTCGAATCTTCTTGACTTTCAGTTGGCTTCGGATGAGCGCATGCTGCTATCAGGGACTGACCTGAGGGAGGTTTGTTGTAGCTTTTCGGCCACCCATGAGCGTGTAGTGAGGAATTCGTTGATTGGCATTTTCTTTGCCAGGGAATTCGAGACTTTCAGTGCTATGATGAGAGCCTTCAAGGGGCCGGCCCTCTCCTGTTTGGTTTCAAAAAAAATTGGCACAGACTGCTCATTTGGGAATTTTGTGGACGGGACGACTTTAGTTGCTATAACTTTGCCTCCTCCCAGGTCCCCAAGGTCGTCATCGATGACCTTGTGCTCTTCAAAGTTGTGGCAGCTGGAATTTCAGCTGATGATCCTTCCATTCGGAGTGGAGAGAATCTTGACGCAGCTCTTGCAAGGTATGTGGTTTTGGGCACCCGGGAAAAATTTTTTGATTTTAGGATGAGGCTGAATTTTGGGTGGAATGAATGGTTCGGGCGAACTTGAAACGTGTCATGCCTCTGCTTATTGCTACAGCTGGAGTGATTAAGCTGGGTATTTGCGTTATTTCTTTGCTGAATGTGTTTATCGGGTCGTGGATTTCAATTTTTCCCTGCAGGCGGCGATTGTTGTCCTTGCTCAACGTTGCCACGCTGCGCGGCAATCATCTGAGAATCCCAGGACGGTCCTCGGGCTGTCGGATGAGTTGGTGTCTGAGCTTATTCTTGTAGTGGCTTTGGCGCCGCTGCAAATTTGGAGTTTTTGTGTCTATGCCTCTGATGCTTCCTCTTGGGGCCTCACTGTCTGCAAGGCTCGGTCGGCTTCCATCTTGGATAACAAGTGAAGTGCATCGCCGCAAGTGCAAGAAGAACACTTGGGTGAAGTTGCTTACGCCTGCAAAGGCTTTGGACAGAGTGCGCGGAGAACTTCTAGCTTCTGATGAGCTGCCTGGAGGTGATGTTTTTCACACTCACCCGCTTCATCAGCTTTTAGTGACAGGCCTGCAGTTTGAAGAGGCGCTCCAGAAAAGAGCAGAGATGGTTCTCACATCAACATTGGGGAGCTGCGTGGCATGGTGCGGTCAGAGTCCGATTGGTGGTTTCCCAACAGGACTATGTAGGGCTGAGCTGGATCAAGGGCAGACCTTCAAGTTTCGGGCTGAACCAAGTCCTACAGCAGAGTCTGCCCATCCACCTTGGGCGCGGCTTGATTTCAAACGCTGGCCATCTTCCTACGGATGTGAATGTTGCTGACGATCTCACCCACCGACCTTCCTGCAAGCTGCCTGGCTGAGTGGTCAATGTTGTCAGCTGGACGAGTTTCTTGTTCCTTTTGGTGCATACTCTTATGAACTTTCTGGTTTGCCGGTTTTCGTACAGATGAAAGTTTACCAGAGGCTTCCTCTCCGATTTTGCGCAGCAAGTCGTAATTTGCTGGAAAGCGTTCTAGGGCATCCCGCATGAGCCGGGAGCCGAAAGTTATTCTTGCGCAAGAAGGCAGTGAAGAGTTTTCATTTCCAGTTTCTTCCTCCCACAGTGATTTTTCTTGGCCGCTTGAGGTCATCACATTGTTGAGCCACTTTCAACCAAAGCAGTTCATTTTCCAAAAAGCATGGAGGGTTCCCTCTGACTGGAGCCCAAATAGCGGCCCTCTATCCTGCAAAGGGTATTTGGATTTGTATTCTGGCAAGACAGGTGTCGCCAGAAAGTTGAAGAAGGTTCGATTTGGGCTCTCACCTTTGAGCTGGATGATGGAGACAGCCTGTTTTCTTTGCCCCCAGTGCAGCAATTTTTTTTTGCAGGCCCTTGATCATGCAGATTGGCTCGCGCAGCTGATCCCTGTGGCTTGTGAACATAGTTTAGTTTACTGGGTTGAGAATCCCGATGGATCATTTCTTTGGTTGCTTGATGCTTGGCTTGAATTGGGGTGCCAACTTGAAAACCTTTTTCGATTGGACTACTGCAGATGCAGCTGCCTGTGGAGGAAGCGTACTCGCTTCTTTACAAATTGTCATCTCCGAGGCCAAAGCTTGTTTTGCTTACGAGATCATGTCGGTTGGTCTCAGCTTCACAAGGCATGTTGGACACGTGTTGCTCCGACCCACCCGAAGATTCTTTGCAAGTGGATCGCCCTTGCCCTGTTGATCGATGCCGGATTGTGGCCTGATAGGAGGCGGATATACACCGCCTCGATTTGTGGATCGTCAGGACCACGCTTGGTGAGCCCGGAACCGAGTTGATCGGCCCAAGCGCAAAGGGGGAATGGTGCAGGGGTGTAGCATTGGGGTTTGGGTGTACACTGGCCGCATCCAGACCCACCCCAGTGTACACTTCCGCGTATGGGGCAAAAGACTTGCCTGCGCAAATCCCGGCGTGCAAGAACCACAGGAACAACAGACTTTGCGCCCTGAAGACATGCAAAAAAGTATATGCATGAAAGCGTAAACGGGATGCGCTCAGCAATTGTTAAGAAGGGTGAAGCATCAAACCCAACCGAAAGTAAGACTCACATTAGCATGTGCATTGCCCTCTGCACACCGGACACGCCACTTTCTTTTTGACTCTCGCAACCCTGGAGTGGGGAGAAATGCGACCTGGACCAGCGCAGCAAACCAGCCGTGCAAGGGTAGTAAAGGGAGGAAACCAACAACTTGCCTAAAAGGTCGCAACGAATAAGTGCCCCACCCAGCGGCGATTGCGATTCTTTTCTTTCATAACCATGGTCACACGCAAAGTGTCCACTTTGCATACTTTGGCTCTGGGCGAACTGGTCTTTTGCCATGCCTTGCTGTTTTTTTATCTCAGCGTACAACTCGGTCCCGGCTGCAAGCATTTCGCCCATAACTAGCCCTTTGAAATCTTGCAGATCAAATCTTATCCGCCTGCATGGGTCAAACCTTGTCGTGTCGTTATTCGTCAGAGCATCTGCTTCTACATTCTGCAGGCGTGGGAGCCAGTTCAATTCCAAGTTCACTCTTCTCACACGCAACTGCAATGCTAGTTTTATAAGGAAAGCGCAGAGGGGAAATTTCGTCGTCAACAATCTAGACACCACAAATGAATTGCCCTTGTTGTCAGTACCTGCAGAGCAAGAAATACGCCCAGCGTCAGCC